CTAACAGATTTCCTACATATAAACTCCAAATTAGTAGCTGGAAATTTTGAGGAACTCTGGTTGTTTTGGAAACAAAATGATGCAGAAAGATAAAATGCATCTGAACTAACCACATTTCAGTCTCTTAGATGCTGGTTTCCCTAACAGGTAAAAAACCAGACTAGTCAATCCAAAATGTTCCTTGTTGTAAATGCGTACCTTAATATAGAAATAGTCGTCACACCATTTCTTGAATCGAGGATAGAAGCTAGGGTCAAACTTGTCGCATGCACTTTTTTGGACCTGCAAACAAAGACCAGCATGAAGAACTCTGGTAGTGAACTAGAAATTCATGAAGAAGGAAATGATAAGATGAATGAAGTGTTTTCATTAGAAGGGAAGTTAGAGAAACAATATTTGAAATCTCACAATCTAACCTGCAAAAATCTTTGTTACAGCAGAATAATGTATCCCAGATGATGACAGCAGTAAATCAGAAGTTCAGATACCGGCCAAAACTTATCGATACAGAACCTGTTGACCTGGACTATACTGACTGAATTTGTTTTGTAAATTTCCTTTTCCAAAAAATTTTAAATTAGATATCACTGGATAACCTTTGTATGTTTAAAAATTTGGCTTTCTATGAAAGTAGTGAAAGCCAGAATCTTGTTTTGATACTTTATTTGTATTAAATCTTCTAAGATCATTTTGCCTTTTACTGATTCATCAAATATATATCTTGAGCCAGCTCCCGAGCTGACCGAAAGATGATGATTTCAAGCATGTAACCAAGACTTGTGACATCTTTGGAAGCAAGTTGCACCAGATAAAAGTGAACCATCACATATTCGAATTTATATCCTTGAGACAGATAATTTTACATGTATCAATAAAGAAAGTGCTCTTAATATTATTTTTAAGTGTACTGCATAACAACGAATAAGCTTACCGAATGGAAATGTTTAACATCCTCCTCAAAAATGTAAGCAGGCGTAAAATCTGTACCACCACCAAACCACCACTGCCTAGGAGCTCCTGGAGCATCTGCATATAACGTAAACCCAGGTAATGATTATATAGCATGTTTCATAGCTTTTCACTTAATAATAATAATAGAGCAACAAAGACAAAGATGAAATCTTGATAAAGACACCATAAAAAATGCAATTCTGATCGAAGGGTTCTGACATGACCAATATTGTATAGAAAGCCAGATACAAACATAGAAATTCTGATGCTGACCCAATATATCATATTTACAAGATTTTGCACACATTCCAATTCCTCAATCAAAAAATTTGCAACTGCAACTCCAACAACTCCCAAGTGAGCTTTTCATCCAACTCAAATCATGGAGTAGAAAACAGTTTTCTATAATGGAGATTAGACATATCGGGAAATAGTTATTAACAGTTTTAAAATAACTCATAGACCATGATGAGGAATGGAGGAAACTTTAGGGGAAAAATTCCTGAGAGAGACAACAATATGTTGCTTTGCATTGCCATGTGGGTTTTACAACAAGTTTATTTTGCACTCGAAGCATATCGCAGACAAGCCAGAAGACATTTTACAGGAATCATATCGAGTACAAAATCTTCATCATAGGTGATTTTTGTAAACACATCCATTGTTAATACATCCTACCAATCTTATACTACACAAAGAAGTTGATTCCTTTGAATATGTAGATTTTCCAATTTTGCTTCACAATTATGTAAATCTTAGGCAGTGGAGCATCATCAGTTTTTACAGGAATCACATCACCTCGGAAAGATCCTTTCTCATACTGAGTACTTTAATTGAACCTCAACAAACAGGAACATGCAGCTTTAATAATCGAAAGCGATCAGTGAAGGATATGCGGAAAGAATTTAGCAGTATTAAAAACATTACAAAAATTTCTTACTTTTGTGGTTTCATTAAACTAGACAGTAAACCTGCAAGTATCAGGATTCCGTTCACTGATTTCAATTTGACATGCAAAACAATGTTTTAACAATCATTCTTGAAATCTTCAGCATTCACAAGAAGCATATGAACAAGAAGCACAAATTACTACCTTTGGGAGCATCAGTCTCAAAGTACCGATAATTGAAATGTAAAGTCGGTGCAAAGGGGTTGTGTGGATGCAGAACCTGCAGTACAAAAAATGTAAAACAATCAAGAAATGGCCTTTTCAGAAGGAACAAAAGTTCAACCTATATGTGCTTAACAATACACTCCCCGTCTAAACAATCAAATAAAACATGCGGGCATACTTTTCTAGCTTCATCAAAATGATAATCATAGCTGCTCAGCTATAATTTACAAAATGTTGCCCATCTCTTATTAAAATACTATAACTTTACCCTCTTCTTAGGATTTTCATCCCACAAGCACGATGCCCCGAGTATTACGGGCTTACCATACATACACAAACCCAACGAGAGCACAAATTCGGAAGCATTTCCTCATCCGGCTAAAACCAGTTGCAAAAGATGTTGATCGCACTTTTAGCTCAAGAGTATTGCAGCTTTGCAGCTATATAAGCAAACACTACAATTCTCTCAAAGCAGCCCACCAGCACAAGCTAATTCTAAAGTCGTCCATTAAGCCACAATTCTTGTACCTCCAACAATGACAGTTCATTCCAATCAACCATAGAGCAATAATTACCCGTAAAATTGTGCTACCAAAGAAAGAAAACGAAAAGCTGTAAAATTGGGATTACCGAGCTAATGCCAGCGGCGAAAAAGGGAATTGGCCCGGGCTTAATGTCACCATTATCTGAAGATGGCTTTGCGGCCCGATAAGCTTCAGGCGGCATAACACCATAAACCACGGAGACATTGACCCCAGCCTTTTCCCAAACGGCGCCGTCCTGCAAAACCCTACTGATGCCGCCACCACCGCCGGGCCTGGACCAGACATCCTCCTTGAACTTGCTGCCATTATCCACGGCCTCAATTGCGGCGCAAACGCTGTCCTGGGCGTCCCTAATCATCTTCTCAAACCTGGCCCTGACTGAGCCGGCAGAATCAGAAGAGGAGGAGGAGAAGGCCGCAGCCTCATCGGATTCGCGGAGGAAGGTGTGGGGACGGTGGGTTTCTAAGGTTTCTTTCTCTATCATGGGGGAGGGGGAGGAGGATGAGGAGGCGGCTCGGGGAACGCCGAGAGAAATGTGAGATGTTGCGGAGTGGAGAAATGAAGGGAAGTTTCTTGCTGGGATGCTGGATTTTTTGACAGGGAAAAGGAGGGGCGCAGAACAAGCAGCAGCAGAAGAAGAAGAAGAAGAAGAAGAAGAAGGGGAAATGGAGAGTTTTGGAGCACTCAGCAACATTGCTGCTGAGGAGGGATATTGTGGGTTTGATTTGCTGCTAGAAAAGTAGGAGTAGTACGAAAGTAGTCAGTTATATATGCAATGGCGAAGATGATAAGGAAAGGGGAAATCTGGGAAATCAGATGACGAGACGATTGGTGGATTTGTGATTTGTCAAATGTTCAGAAACGGAGGAGAGGACCCATTGGATAGGTTTTGACAGTTTCGGACTTCATATTGCCCACCCCATTGGATTGGTTTTGCTTTCATTGACCATCAACCACGCCTACAGACTAACTAATCGCTGGAAGTCATCGGATAGTAGTCCGTGGTTTTTTTTGGTGTCTGTGGACTGTGCGCGGCGGGAGAGTATGAGTAAGGCATTTTGTGCATAATGTAGTCAAGATTCAATCAATTTAACCACCATAGAGAAAAGGGGGGGGGGGGGGGAGGTTTAATTTTGATTGGAAGATCGGAAGGATTATAAGTAAGAAGTCTTGGATTTAAATTTAAATTCTCTCATTTATTATAAAAAAATCATAAAGTTTTGAATTGTGTTTTTTATTAGTACGTCGTGGAATAGGGTACTTGATCCATATTATTTGATTAAGTCAAAAAAAATCAGATATCCTTTTTTTTTCAAGTTGGGTTAAGATCATATGATTAAAAACCCGTCAGGTACTCGCCTTGTTTTGCACGACAACTTACACATACAAGATATTATTTTTAGAGCTAACTAAGTGATTTTGTTGAGCAAATTATATCCCAAATATGAGCATCTATAATTTGTTTCTAAGATTCATTGGTAATATCATGATCTTATTATTATTTTTTTTACAAAAAAAGTTTTATTCATGTAGAATATGTACAAAAAAAAGGATCATATTTATAACAATTTCATTAGTTTTGGATTCTTTTTTTGACCTTTTTGATGTATTCTCTTGGCATGTTCGTTTCTCAACATAAGACCTTTTTTTTGGTCAAATCAATATTGAATTTTAGATTAACATGTAAATATAAAAATAAATTAATATAAATTATTTTAAAAAATTAAATGATAAGAGGGGCGAGATTAGTATCAACTAATCAAACTCTTTTTAGATGGGTATTTGATTTGTTGATATGCAGGACAGATAAGGGTCAAAAAATGATTGACCCGCGAGATGTGAGTCGAGTTAGCCACATGCTCCACAGTATGGGTATTTGATCTGTGTCCAAAAACTTAGAAAATGTATATGCGTGTCTATTATATATATATATATATATATATATATATATATATATATATACTTTTTATTTTCTTAACAAAAAAGCTGTGAGGTAATTTATTTTATTCTTTTTGGAAGGAAAATGGTAATTACACCTCGTTTATTTTTTCACTCATGTAAATGATCGAAATGCCCTGTTGTTTACTTAAATTACAATTTTCATCAAAGGGATGGTTGTGAATATAATGAAGAACAGAGGTACATTTGTATATTTAGTATATCAAAACATCAAAAAGCAGTGGTGATTAACAATAAGGAGTTAATTTAAAATTACAGTAAAATTTAAATCACAAGAGACATTTTTTTTTCTTTTAAAGAACAAGGCAATGATAGAAGTTAAGGAGCATGGAATTAAAAAAGGGAATTAAAACTCAAGACCTCTAATATGATTAAAAATTCAAAATGGTTTATCAAATTTTGTCAAAGCATAAATTCAAGAAATCAATTCTCAATCTCACCCCTGAAATATCAATTTCTCCAATTTCGCATATTTCCAGTTTTCCACCCCATAGCCACCTTCCCAGCTCTTCCAGCTGTTCCTTCTGAAAACCCCCACTCTCCAGTCTCCCTTCAAAGAGGTTTTAAAACTAACCTTTCGAGATTTCCTATCTTCTATGGACAACTTTTCTGTACTATGCTGTCCCGGGATATATCAGGGATAGAAAGAGAGAGAGAGAGAGACATGTTTTGTCTATTTTACTTACTGGGATGATGCTTCACCCCTTCGTTCATGTTTCCATTTCGTAATCAGTCTATGAAATTCGTCAAAGATGTAGTAGGTATGTGGGACAATTCTTGAGAACAGCCAAAGAAAAAAAAGTTTCCATTTTGCCAATATATTGTTTCAATTCGCATATCTATGTGTATATGGCTAGCAGAGCTTATTATTTAGATGAAGTTTGAATGCAATGTCAATTCAATCCTAACTGATTTTCTCTTGGTTTTTCATTAATCAAGAAATGTCCACTTACTGTTCTATTATTAATGTAATTTAATTAATTGTTCTGAGTTGATGTACAGCTTATTAAAATCTGAAATCTGTAGCTGCTGCAACTTTCAAGGGCAGTATTGTATTGTGTTGACGACAAGCTTTAAATTTGATAATGTTAAAAGTGCAAGAAAGTGAAATAGATATTGAGTTCTGATTATGATTATTTGAACCACACTCTGTCATTTAGGTGGAAGACTCGTGGGAGAAAAAAGCCAACAACTTGGTCTGTTTGCTAGCGATTTTAAAAAATGTTCAAGCTTGAAAGAGCTGGAATCTCTATATGCTTTCATGATCAAGACAAATGCAACGCAAGATTGTTTCCTGATGAATCAATTTATCACTGCATCTTCAAGCATTCGTTGTACAGAATGGGTAATTGCTGCCTTTGACCAGTTAAAAGATCCCAATACATTTGTTTACAATGCAGTAATAGGAGCCTTTCTCCGTTGTTTCCATCCACTCCGAGCTTTAGAAATGTATGTAGACATGTTGAAAACTGAAGTCAGACCAACTAGTTTCACGTTTTCATCAATAATAAAGAGCTGCACATGTTTGAAGGCTGTAGATTTTGGAGATTCTATCCATGGACAGGTTTGGAAGTGTGGATTTGAAACTCATCTTCATGTTCAGACTGCTATTATTGATTATTATTCAAATTTTGGTAAAGTTGTTGAAGCAAGACTAGTATTTGATAAGATGCCTGAGAGAGATGGTTTTGCCTGGACAACAATGGTTTCAGCTCATGTCCGTTTTGGGGATTTGAGTTCTGCTAGGAAGTTGTTTGATGAGATGCCCGAGAAAAATACTGCATCTTGGAATACTATGCTGAATGGTTTTGCAAGGATTGGTGATGTTGAGTCTGCTAAGCAGTTGTTCATTGGAATACCGCAAAAAGATTTAATTTCATGGACAACCATGATCAACTGCTACTCTCAAAACAAGCACTACAAAGAAGCACTAGAGATTTTCAACGAGATGAAGGATAATGGGATCAGTCCTGACGAAGTGACCATGTCAACAATCATTTCTTCTTGTGCTCATCTTGGTTGGCTAGACCAAGGAAAGGAGATACATATGTATGTTCTGCAAAGTGGATTGTATCTTGATGTTTACATTGGTTCATCACTGATTGATATGTATGCAAAGTGTGGTGCCGTAGAGAGATCCCTTGTGGTATTCTTCAAATTGTCCGAGAAAAACCTTTTCTGTTGGAATTCTGTGGTTGAAGGGCTTGCAGCTCATGGTTGTGCCAAAGAAGCTTTGGTGATATTTCATATGATGGAGAAGGAGAAGATAAAGCCAAATGGCATTACCTTTCTTAGTGTTCTTGCAGCATGTACTCATGCTGGACTGGTTGAAGAGGGCAAAAGCAGATTTCTTCAAATGACTCGTGACCTTCTCATCCCTCCTGAAATTAAGCATTACGGATGCGTGGTTGATCTGTTAAGCAAGGCTGGTTTACTTGATGAAGCATTGGAACTGATAAGAAGAATGAATATTGAACCAAACTCTGTCATATGGGGTTCTTTACTTTGTGGGTGTAAGCTTCACAAGAACTTGGAGATTGCTCAGATGGCTGTTGATAAGTTAATGCTTCTGGAGCCAAAGAATAGTGGATACTATAACCTTTTAGTGAACATGTATGCTGAAGCAAATCGATGGAGTGAGGTTGCTAGAATCAGGGCAAACATGAAGAACCTTGGAGTAGAAAAGAGATATCCTGGATCCAGTTGGATTGAAGTGGAGAAGAACATATTTCAGTTTGCTTCTTGTGACAATTGTCATCCAGCATCTGAAGAAATTTACCTGCTACTGGATGAATTGGTTGGGCAACTTAAGCTGACTGGTTGCGGACCTGAGTTTGAATTTATTTTGTGATGGCTTCTGGTAGACCAGAGCTGATGGTTGTCTGCTGGCAAAGTAACTGTGGAGAGCCATCCTGACCTTTCTCTGAGATCTTTTTTCTTGATTGGTTGTTTAGGTATGAAGTTGTCTTGACCGTTTTATAGGTATCTTTGTGTGTATGTATATGTATTTTTAATTCAGTCTCTTGGTAAGTAAACTTTGACCTCGTTAATCTTCAAATCTTGTCCTTATGACAGGCATTTCTTAATCCGTAGAACTTTGTGACTCCTGCATCAGTTAAAATGTCTATCCAGAGACTTAGGAAACTATTTTGGAAGGGCGTTCAGCAAATTATGCTGAAGTGATGTACTATTTACCCGACCTTCAGAAATATAAGGTGATGCAGCTTTAACTCATGTTATCTTTCCATTTGGGCAATGAATCCCTTTGGATATGGAGAACGTGCGATGCTAGGTCAGGGTTCAACCAACTGATCACTGCTCTAGTTGAAGTAAAACATTATGTTGTTTGTCTCAGGATTTTACTTGAGCTCAATAATTCTTGTCAGCATCTGATTAAGCTATCGACCTTCTGATGCAGGTACAAGTATGCTTTTACCCTGATCTGATAGAGTGGAGAAATGGGCTGAGGTGATGCAAGTTTGTTACTTCCCAAGAAGAGAATGTGTGCTATGACTATAAGCTGTGAGTAAGAGTATAACATAAAGAAATGGTGTTTATTCACTTGCTATGCTGTTATAGTACTCTAATTAAATTGCATATCTTTTGTTTTTCTTGCATTGAGGTCGAGGCAGTACCAGGACTGGTTAGTCAGATGCGCTGCATCAAATCTCTGTTCCTTAAGTTTTTATCCCAGACAGACTGCTTGTGGTTAAATGACCATGAACTGTTTCCAACTATGACATTCCTTACTTGTGTTGCTTTATTATACATGTCATTTTTGAATTACGCGTATAAGCATCTTCAGTTTTACCTTCTACACCGTTTTCCAACTATCAGATTTGATGTGTTGCATTCTTTTCTTCTTTTGCTTTCCATTTCGTGATACTTGTCCTCGTTGGAAACAGGTATGGTAAGTGGATGCCTTCTTGAAGGAGGTCGTGGAAATGTCTTTCAGTTGTAATGGCACTTCAGCAAGAAAATCTCAGCTTCATGGAAACGCATCTGAGGTTGCTAATGGGGCATTAGATGGCATCTAGTTCAACAGCAATATTCAATTGTGTCGAAACCATATGTTACCTTTCGTGTATTGATCGTACCTTGTACCCCTGATTGACTTAATTATAACATTGCTACTGCCTTCTGTAATTGCTGAGGGTAGCCATAGGTGTTACACTCCCTCAGGTTGACTCGATGCTTGGGATAGAGCTGGATACAGGTCTTAAGAACGACTACAATGTGTCCAGAATACAGTGAGGTTTGTGTTTGATTTTGATGCGGCGACTAGCACATCTTAACTTACTCAGAGGAAGTTTCTTCTATAGTTATTCAAGATTTTCTTGATCTTTTGGACTAATGCATACAATCTTTCATAAAACATGTCAAAGATGAACTTCCAAAACACAAAGATGGCAAATAATAATAGTTTTCTCAAAACTAAAATAAATTACAGCTAATTCAGCTGCTTTTCATTGCACTGTATTGAAAACTAATGTTCTTTACATGGTTTGTACTAAATGAAATTGAAGAAATGTAAATCATGGTCACAGTTTCACTATGGTATTTGGAAAATTGCAGAAAGTTAAACGGAATTATCTTTGCATTCAGTATTTGATCAGAAGTGCATCAATGTTCCTTTTCCCTTCCGGGCCCTTTGTGTACCATGAGGAGACATAATCCCCATACATGACTTCATGGTATATAGGTGGTTCAAAAGCTGGGAATACTTTCCTAGTTTTTGCAGGATCGTGGAATGTGGCAACTGAAAGTCTCGCTCTTTCAGCGTTTGTAATTGCCCGATGTTGACAACTTCTGTATTTGCCATTTGTTATGATCTACAAGCAAAATAAATAATGTCACAAACTCCAGCAACGGCCAGGCAACAGTCTAAACTTTGATCTACTTCTAAAAGGGACCCGACAGGGTTTTTGGGAAGGGGAACTAGGAATCAAACCCGCTGCACTCTCAAGATTTAACTGCCAGAATGGGGATTCAACCTCCCAACCCACCAGGGTATGGCTCATAAAATAAGTATTTAATCAGTCATCAGTAGTTCTGGAAAGATGGAGCATACCATACCAGACTTGTCATTTAGCAAAAACAAGAAGCTTTTTTTTTTCAGACTGACCTCTCCAAAATTAGAATGATACTAAGAATTGGCAACTATATACTGCTACTGTATCAAGACAAACTAAGTATCCAAAAAAATATAAAAAAGAATAAGAGAATTAAGTTAATATCTCTACCAGAAACACAAAATGGTGCATAAAAGTGCACGGAAAACTAAAACCTGCTTCCAAAGCCATCAAGAATCAGTAGAAAATCTATTGTCAACAACAAGATGCAGTACCTCAGTTTGGTCAGCCAAGAGAACTAAGATACCATCACGCAGTGGACGTACTGTTATCCATTCTCCATCCTTGAACACTTGAAGACCCTCAACGTTATCTTGGATAAGAAGCGTGATAGCACCCATATCAGAATGCGACTGCAGACCAAGAGTAAGGTCTGGCTGTGGACAAGGAGGGTAATAACTCACTGTAATGTTCTGACAGAACTCCCCAATAGCCTCTTCAATGCATGAAGATGGCAGACCAAGACTCTCCGATATCAAACCCAACAATCTCTGAGCAAGGACTTTCATCTGATCACTGTATTCTGCCACTACTTCTCTAATCAACGATGTACTTTTTCGTCAGTCCTTTCATGCGAGGATGATAGGAAATGGGAATCAATGCTGAATAAGTTAAATGTAAAAAATACAATACAATTAATTTGCAAAAAGACCTCTTCTGTCTATTATCTTTCCCCACCTCGTTGTCCCTCATATTTTTTCTCTTAGTTCATTGATGAGACAGGATTAATAATCCAATCTGCCTAATCCCGGGAGCCCCAGAAGGGATTAGTCATTCAATCCAGCCTAACCTTGTCTAATCCCAGGTAACCCAATGACCCCTAAACAGGATTAACAATCCAATCCTGCGTAGTCCTGGTAACCAAATGAGCCCCACATTTTCCCCTTTTCCAGCATCCCTTTTCTGTCTAGGTCTACATTCTCCAAATATTCAGACAATTGTCTGGTTGCATCATTCAAAATTTTCTAAGTACTGAACTAATAGCAATCAAAGGTTACAATTCCAAAGATAAATTATGATTGATTAGAATAGAAGAATAAACAACCATTTACGAGCCATCCCACCTGTAATTAGGCTGATAATGAGGCCACTTAGCCGGATTCCGCCTCGACAGCGGCAAGGTATGGTGATCAAAATAGTCCCTCCAATCCAAAACGCTGTCGTTATCAGCTACCAGCATCCGGCTACCATAACCCTCGGAAGCCGGCGAATTAGGATCACAAGAATACTTGAGCTTCTGCTCCATATCACATTCCTCAAAGAATGATTTCCCCACTCGCCTCATCTGATCCAGCAATTCCATCGGTACCCCATGATTGACCACGCTAAACGCCCCCCAATCTCTGCAGGCCAGCCCTATCTCGTCTTTGAGGCGGCCGGTGTCTTCTCCGGCGAGATTAATCGACGGCGGAGATAGCTCAGCCGCCTCGTTCTTATGATGATGGGTCAGCTTTGCAGCAGGTCGGGTTTCTGGGGGTTGTACGTACTGAGGAGGCACAACGGAGTTGCGGGTTTGGGCTATGGCCTGCACCCTCACGGGCTCTCCGGCGGGTGACATCCCCAAAGCGACAACGTTGAGGAAATAACTGATCGCTTGCTGAGAAAATAAGGTGACTGGAATCGCACAGGCTGTACTAATAAGCAGCCACTCAGGGTAGGTACCAAAGTATACAGGCCTTCAAATACTGCAACTAGAAGGCGGGCTTCAACTTTGACCCGTGAGCTGGCGCCTTCTTGAAATATCGTCAAAGGCGTGAAAGGCAGATGCTTTGCTGTTGGATTGAAAGATAAACCAAACTACTCAATTGAATCGAGCTCGACTTAGTAAAAACTCGTTCAAGTTTGATTTGTCAACTAATCAGACCAAATTTTAATAGCATTCGATAACATTTAAATTCGATAAAAAAAAAAACTCGTTCGCACTCAATTCGTCAAATAAACAAGACAAACTTAAACAAAATTTTGAGTTCGTTAACATATAATGAAACGAGTTTTGAACACTAAAGCATTTGATTTGATTTGATTCATTTACACCCTTACTTACTTGTCAGGATCTCTTATACTATAACTTCTAATATTCCTGCTATAATACTCAATTTAACAATAATGTAGCAAATTAATTAGGGAGTATCATCCAAGGAATACACAATTACACATTCTATCCTTGGAAAGCATTATTGATTGTGTATTTTTAGATGTTAAATACTCATTTCTCGACTTTAGGTGTTTGTCGCATTTGTTCTTAGGCACTAGAGTGCAGCGTCCAAAATTCAATACCAATAATAATATATAGTAGAATTATTTAGTTAACGATAAGGCATTGAGTTTTGTAACTCCTAAATTCATGTCTTATTGTCTATAAATTTCTTCTTTTACTATATGCAGATTTATTTATAAACATTATTTAATTATAATTTTCACACCATTTGTAGGAATCACGCTATTTTATTCAAACAAAAAATAATTTGAGGATAAAAATGTTCTATTCTTGCAAGAGTAACTCCCACAATAATGGTTTGTAATGCCAATAAAATCCAATGAGAATTTACTCGGCATTATTATGTTAAGGTTAAGCCCAATGGCATGCGCCACTTTTTCAGCATGCTCCGATGAGGCCACCGGACAGCTTAATTGCCTCCCAACAAAATATTTGATTCATTATGAGGTGTTATTGAGCTGTGACGAGCTCGAGTATTAGATTGCTAATTTTAGAAATTTTATTTTTAAAAAAATATAATGTAACGATTTGAAAATATTGAGTTGCGACGAGTTCGAGTATTTTTTGGTATTTTTTACTCTAAAATTTTGGTTTTTTTTTTGTCGTGTTCATTCTAGTCTCCTTGTTTTATCCCTCTTTATTTATTTATTTTTATAATAAAGGACAATTTCATTATAAAACTATGCTACATAAATAAAAACACGTATATGATAGATAGAAAATCTTCCTCTCATAAAAAAAAAATCAACAAATAGTAAGACTTTTAAGGCTTTAAATTATTAGGTTTTTCACAAATTTAGGACGGATAGATCCTTGCTTTATCCCTCTTTAATTATTTATTTTTATGATAAAAGGATAATTTCATTATAAAACTATGCTACATAAATAAAAACAAGTATATAATAGATAGAAAATCTTCCTCACATCCAAAAAAATCAACAAATAGTAAGACCTTTAAGGTTTTAATCTCCTATTCGTGTATGTGCATGTCTGATATTATCAAGATAAAATTTAACTATTATAAATTCAAATATTAATATAAAAATATTTTAAAACAGACCTAAAAAATCGTCATATTGACAAACAAATTTCATAAATTTCAAATATAAAGAGAAAAACAAAAGAAATTTTCAAAAGGGAAATCAATAAACCAATTTGTGAAAATTCAAGAATAATAAAAAGAAGAAACAAATCAAACTACTTGGAAAATCTTAAGAAAAAAGATCGTCACGATAGGAAAATCATACGGGGATGCGGGAAATTTATTATTACTAGATTAAATCAAAGGGAAGAAATCATAGGCAGGCAGGGGACTTTAATTCCCAAGTCGGAGGATTCTCCGTACCAATGACAAATGAGAAGTGAGAACAGAGTCTATAATCTACTTTTCATTCGTTTCTGCCCATTTCCGCTCCCAGATCTCCCACTAATTCCATTTCCTCCGCTTACCTATTCATTCTTTTCCCTCTCCTCCAGAGATAAATAAGAAGGTAAGGCATTAACCCATTCCCTTTCTCACTCTTTGAGATTTATTCAATACATGATTAGCCCACCTCAAGATTTATTAATCTTGCACCTGATCTGCTCTGATCTCAATCTTGAATCACTTGTATTTGCAAGTTAAGAGGACCCTTCTTGCCAATTGACTCGAATTGAATCGGGTTGAGGTGGGGGAAAGAAAGAAATACCAAAATGGCTGGCGCTGCAGGGGGTTTTGTCACCCGGGCATTTGACTCAATGCTCAAGGAGTGTGCCAATAAGAAGTATACTGCTCTGCAAACTGCTATTCAGAGTTATTTAGGTCCGTTTTTTAAGCCCTTTTCCCTCTAAGCCCTGATTGATATATTTTTTTTCTTTTTGGCTTCAAGCTTCATTCTTGCAACTAAATTGATTTCTTCCTGTACTTAAACTATGTAGTTCGAGTTTAATTCCCTGATTTTTTATTTACTTTCCAATTGTGTGTGTGTGTGTG